TTTCCCCGGGGTTTTCCCCCCCCCCCTGGAACCCCCCCACCCCACCATTTTCAAATCCCTTCCCCCCCGCGGCAGCCTCCCCCCCGGTTTTGGGCCCCGGCAGGAGAACAGGCAGAGGCACCTTGGGGCCCTGGAGGGGTTTGTAAGGGGAGGGTGGCCCCCGTTATGGCAAAGAAAGCGGGCTTTTGGGTGATTTTTTTTTCGGGGGCGACCCCTTTTGGCCCATTCGGCGAAAAATTTGCGGGGGCCCCGGCCCCCCCCCTTAAAGGGGGGAAAAAGGTTCCCCCCTTTTTTTTAAAAAAGGAAGCCCCCCCCCCCCCCCCCCCCCCCCCCCCGGGGGTTTTCCTTTTGGGGGAGGGGGGGTCTTTTTTCCCTTTTTGAGGGAACGGGGGAAAATAGTGGGGGTTTTGGTTTTTTGGGGGGGCCGGGGTCCTTTAACCCCCTGGAGAGAGGGATTTAAAGTTGGGGGAAAAAAGGGGCCCCATTTTTTTTTTTCTTGGGACCCAAGGATGGGGGGGGGGGGGGGGGGCGTGCATGCACGATCTCGTACCACTGACCTCGTGTGACAGAGAGGACTGTGTTTCTAGGGTCAGGGGGAGGCTGGCTTGTTTGGACCAGGAGAAAGATAGCATGTTTCTTGAAGGATTGGCTGCTGCTGCTGCTGTTTGTGTGATTTAGTCGAATGTTACGACCCTCATGTTGGAAACGAGTCGGAGCGTTTGGGGTCGAGTCGCTTGTGTGGGGGGGAGAGAAAGAGCGAGAGGGGGTCACGTAGTATCGTATTCGGAGAGGTCACGACGGCTACGCGAACAACGACTTTCCAAGTGTTGTCGTGGTTCATCCTGACATCGATGGCACATAATGCCACTTGAAAGTAAGTTATCGTCCGGTGTGGTTCTCTCTCGCTGAACCCATGTGGTGTCCCGAGGGTGGCGGCGAGATTGAGGTGGGCGGGTGCTGTGTATGGCGGGCGGTAGGTGTCTCTCTTCTCTCTCCTCTCTCTCTCTCTCTCTCCTGTGTGTGAGTGTGTTTCGTGTGTGTTTGATGTAGCATACCGTGTTGTTCTTTGTCAATCTCTCGAGCAACAAGCAAGCAGTATGAAGTGCAACAACAACAGCAAGAGCAAGAGCATTTTGTTCATTTGTCTGTATGTTGAGCTGTGCTTGTCTGTCTGGGCAGGGATCAACGCCCTCCTGCCGGCGGTGTTCTTTCTCATTTGCTGCTTTCCGCTTCTCGGCATGCCTTTCTCCCCGCGCATCGATTACCCTAGCGTTCCCTCTACCGTGGGGCTTGCGGTATGGTTTTCCCCCTAGAGGGTGTGGGGGATCTTGTGTCGGAAGTTAGATAAAGGAGGCGCCCGTATGTACGTTGTTGTTTTTTTTTTGCGGCCGGTTCGGGGTGGCGCTGCGTGCGGCGCAACCCCCAAACTGGTTCGCATTTTGTCGGTTACTTTTGGCTGTGGTGATGGTGCACGATAGGGAGCGGTAGGAGAAGCCGCAGCCTCGAGCTGTAGACGACGCGATATACTATCAAGTCTCAACAGGTGGCAGAGGGTTGGCGGGGGTTCTAGCGATTGCAGGTCGTGCTGTGCTGCATTTTACTCTATCTTCTAGTATATTTTTGTCTGCCCCCCCCACTCGTTCGGATGTGCGTGTAACCGTTAGCTCCGGAGGAAATTTCCGTGAAATGTCCTTGAGAATAGAGGAGCTTTTCAAAGCTGGTTCTCGTGTGTCGGTAGTTATTAGTTATGAGGCCAGGAGAGAGAGGGGGGGCAGGGGTCCGGGGGTAAGAAAGCAGGGGGGGGGCGCTAGACTTGCTGTCGTGTATCTCATCTCGTCACACGGCGTTCGGAGTTACCTATGTTTGTTTGTCTGTTGCATAGGTGTTCCTTCACTATACTTTCGTACATACGCGCACGTTGTCGTTGTCCATTACTTACAAAAATACCCATTATAGGTGCACTCAATTGTGGTTTGTAGCTTCCAAGGCTCTCGTCTCGTCCCCATCCAACCAGTCGACTAGTGTCGAACAGCAGCGAGAATTAAGAGTCGGGAGCCGGCTAAGCTACTGCTATTTAGCTAGCACCAACACGGCGCTAGCCGCGTGCGCACTTCGATTGCCTTCAGACCTGCCGGTTTTTGTTTTCCCGTGCCGTAGTAGTTGCAGCCTCGTGAGGAAGTGAGGCTGCTATACGGGCGTTTCGACCGTTAGGCCCGAGGAAAACATGGGCCGGCCAGGTTGTGCGGGCGGTGGGGAAGGGGGGGGGGGGGGGGGGGGGATGCCTCGGGGGCAGATTTCTTTGGCCCCGGGCCCCCCCTTTTTTTTAAAAAAATTTTTAAAAATTTTTTTTTTTTGAGGGCAATTTTTTCTTTTAGGGGAGGGGGGGGAAAAAAAAGGGGGGGGGGGGGGGGCCCCCCCCGAAAAAGGGGGTAAAAAAAAAACCGGGGGGCGGATTTTTGGCCCCCCCCCTTTCCCCTCCCCCCAAAAAAAGAAGGGGAAATTGGTTAGCCTTTTTCT